TATCTTATTATTTTGTCATGAGTACAGGTTTTATTGGTTGACTTATTATTTTGTCATGAGTACAGGTTTTATTGGTTGACTTATTATTTTGTCATGAGTACAGGTTTTATTGGTTGACTTATTATTTTGCCATGAGTACAGGTTTTATTGGTTGACTTATTATTTTGCCATGACTACAGGTTTTATTGGTTGACTTATTATTTTGCCATGACTGTCAACCAATAAAACCTGTTTATTATTTTGCCATGACTACAGGTTTTATTGGTTGACTTATTATTTTGCCATGACTACAGGTTTTATTGGTTGACTTATTATTTTGCCAGAGTACAGGTTTTATTGGTTGACTTATTATTTTGTCATGAATACAGGTTTTATTAGTTGACTTATTATTTTGTCATGAGCACATAGGTCGGTAGAGGGAGTTCAAAGGTCAGTTGTCTTCTGTGAATTTAACAGAAACAAAGCTGCAGAGTTTTACGGTTTACTTAATCTTAGCTCTGCTCTGAAAAACTCCAAACCAGGTTGTGTAGGCCCAAGTGAATAAATGAACATACTAAGCGTAATAATAAGTATGCTTAAGCCTTTTCATAAATGAACGCTATGTACATAATATACAGGAATGACTTATACAATAACGACGAGTTTAAGTCATATGGAATATTTTATACATCCAAAATTAACGTATGTTACCAAAATAATTAAAAGAACACAGCTTGAAAATAGAAGCTCTAGAGTTTCGCTTCTTGTGGCCACTATTTAATATTTAAAGAACACACATTAAAAAGAAGAAACTGTAGCGTTTCGCTCCTGAGGCCCCATTTAATATTTAAAGGACACAACTTGAAAATAGAAGCTCTAGAGTTTCGCTCCTGAGGCCACATTTAATAGCTAAAGAACACACATAAAAAGAAGAAACTGTAGCGTTTCGCTCCTGAGGCCCCATTTAATATTTAAAGGACACAACTTGAAAATAGATACTCTAGAGTTTCGCTTCTGGGGGCCTCATTTAATAGCTAAAGAACACACATTAAAAAGAAGAAATTGTAGCGTTTCGCTCCTGAGGCCCCATTTAATAGTTAAAGAACACACATTGAACGTTAATCTCAGTAAGGCCTTGTAATACATGTCTGGTGGAATAGTCTTATACTCATTTGTAAAAATATCGCCAAGTACAGAGAAATTTCAGGATCTGTCGCCCACGAGACGTTCCGAAACATTTTAGAGAACTTCATTGGATTCGGGTTGGATCTCTTAACTGGCCTAAACAAATTCTGGCCATTATTTACTTCAAATGACCGCAAGTTAGACCTCTAGCAAGGCACGATGTATTATTACGCCAATTAGAGCATATTTCTCTCCTATATCCATATAGGCCATACTTCTTTCCTATATCCAAATAGGCCACATTTCTTCCATATATCCAAATAGGCCATACTTCTTCCATATATCCAAATAGGCCATACTTCTTCCTATATCCAAATAGGCCATACTTCTTCCATATATACAAATAGGCCATACTTCTTTCCTATATCCAAATAGGCCATACTTCCTTCCTATATCCAAATAGGCCATACTTCCTTCCTATATCCAAATAGGCCATACTTCTTTCCTATATCCAAATAGGCCATACTTCCTTCCTATATCCAAATAGGCCATACTTCTTCCCCATATAATTCCAATAATGCGCGGTGACCAGCATTATCTTGAATGTCAGAGGGTGGCAAGATAATAATTAGATTAAATTAAAACTTGTTAAATCTAGCCAACACTATGACATTACTTTCACCACTCGTCACTGTTGGAACAACAGGATCGTTCGTATCCAAGACAACGTCTAAGTTGTTGGCAAACTGAACTGATGTATTTAAAATCAGTAATGATCAAAATATTTACTATTCAGATGGTAGTTTTTTTTCGTTCTTCTTGACTCTAAATAGAATACTAAATACACCGTGAGAGTCGTTACCTTTCTAGTACAGGATGTGATAAGTGGCTTCTAGGCTGCTACACATCCTTAAAGGCTCCAATCACACAGTGGAGCTACTGCTCTGCAGAACTAAACGTTTTTTTTAAACCAAGGAAACAGATTTAATATCAGAGGAGTGATTAATTTTGCAGTAGCCCTTCCAATGGTCTTATATTTCTTTATCTTATTACCTAGAATAGTCGTAGATTATTTTCCAATAACATCTTCACTCTCAGTGGTTGGCCGTGGAAACCGGTGACCTTTAAACGATCTAAACGACAATGCACTTTGGGATCGAGTCCAATTCTAAGGGGATCGTGTTATTATATCGAAGTGCTCTATGTATAAACGAGTAATTATTAAGCTTCAGTAGCTGGAATAATAATAATAACGTCCGAACTTAATCCGAAATGAATATTAACAATAATTAAAGAAGTCAGAAAAGTACGAGTAAATGTCGACTTTAGACGTAATTACGGCTAAACCTTTTTTTTTACACCTGAGTGAATAATACAAGTACACGAACAAACTGAGCATTTTCTCTGAACGACTTCTCCAGAGACGCAAGCAACTAAAAATGTTTGTTAGCTTATGTACCACTTGCAAACATAATTATCTAATATAATTGTGTCTTTCAGAGAAAAAAACATGTCTCATTTATAGTGTTATCTTCATTATCGTAGATTAAACTTTTAATTCGTTTACGCTTTTATAGAAAAAAAAAAGATAATGCGTAATGTGAATGAAGAAGAGAAGCGTGTAAATAACGTACAGTTTTGAATAATAGAAACGTGTAAATAATGTATGGCTTGGAAGAAGAGAAACGTGTAAATAGTGTATGGTTTCTTGAACAATAGAAACGTGTAAATAATGAATGGTTTTGAAGAAGAGAAACGTGTAAATAGTGTATGGTATTTTGAACAATAGAAACGTGTAAATAATGTATGGTTTTGAAGAAGAGATACGTGTAAATAATGTATGGTTTTGAAGACGAGAAACGTGTAAATAATGTACGGCTTTAGGTTATTCCATCCTAAACATTCCTAAGTTTTCTTAAAACAGAATCTCAGCCATTTTGGCGTGAGTTAGAACTGCAAAGTGGTTAAAAATTAAAAGAAAAATTAGAAATGACGTTACAGCTCAAGCCTTTCTTTATTTCAGAGATGCTGAAACCGCTCGCGATTTTTAAAAGTAACTTTTATCCAAGTAGTCATGCTTACACTTGATATTACGTAAGACTTGTGCTATTTGAACTTGTAAGTTTTAATTGTTTTACCGTGAGTGCTTTATTCAACCAGAAAACAACAACAAAATAATCGTCTCGAACTACCACCGTGTTTTGTTATTGTGTTGGAAAAATGTAAACGAAAGATGTTAGCGGTAGAACATGCAGAAATAAAGTAGTTTTATTGCTTATTTTCTAACCAGCTTGGGAAACACCAGAGAGTTACTGAAGACACGTTAAAGGAGTTTCAAAAAATTAAAAGTTTGTTCCTTTTTTTTTTTTTTTTTTACAAACATAAGTTGTTCGAATAACCGTCAGACTTGATTAACAAAGTACTCATTAGTCTTGTACTGAAGATATAAACG